AATTTCTATATGTTGTTTCTTATATGTACAATAATGTTTTTGATGTTTTATTGAGCTTTCATTAATCTGCTTAAATCATTAAAAACACATTGTGAGACCTGTTTGAAAACAGGCTGAGAGACTCGTTTAATGTTTAAATATAGTTAGAGAAACTTTGTCCCCCTCAGATGTACTAATAAGCAGTGTTTCTGCAGGCCGGAGAACATGCTGCTGGATATAAACCAGTGCTCTGCTGGAGTTCTGGCAAATGTTGTGGTTACAAGCTTTTCCACTTTCAGCCTTAAAAAACCTTATTATATTTGTGCTAGTCTGTGTCTAATTGTGTCCTCTGGAATCAAAACATTCATGCTATCATGATTGGCAGATATGACAGTTTTTAGGTTAGGTGATGTGATATTTTATTTATTCTATATAACACATTTGAAGAAGATATTCTGTACATTTGTGAAAGGTGTTTTTGCCTCATATGTGAGCTGGGTGCATTCTGAAGGCTGTGTAGGCCTATGTGACTGCGCTTCTGAAGGGAGAATACAGAAGAAAGTACCGGAGATGGGAGATGCTATAGGATGAGATAGTACAGAAATAGATAATGTGTGTAAAAACTCACAACATTTAAAATCCTAAAATGTATATGCCTCTGCAACCTTGGCAGCCGGAGAGGGGCAGCAAGGTTATTATAGTTTTGCATTTTATTTTAATATCGTTTTCAAATTTGCTATACAATTCAGTTTAGTTTTTATTAGTTTCATTAATATTGTTGTTAGTTTTAGTTTAGTTTTTATTTTGATCAAATGCTGCCATCTACTGGTTCATTGCGGTACACACACTTATTATTTGGTGTATGTCATGATTTTCAGTGTGCTGGTCTGAAACAGCGTTTGCTTTGAGCGGCTCGTGGTCTTTAATGGTGCAGTGGATTGTGGTCTTGGCTGGGAATTGAAGGGCTGTGTGTTCAAGCCACACAAAGGAACTGAACCTGCATACATGAACCGCGAGCTGCCTGTGAGAACATTAATTCAGTTACAGAGAACATTTTAGTTCAGTTCTCAGGATCCAGTGTGGTGATCATTGTTTTCTACTGTATCTGTACCTACTGTAATTTATGCTGATCTATTGAAATCAAAATCATTTTCATTTCTGTATTACACAAACACAAAACAATCTAAAGGAGAATTAATGAATATTTTGCATTACAGTAGTGAGAATGGAGGTTTATTGTAACATTTTTATTTGTCAATTAAAATGCTGCAATAAAAATGATTTTATAGTGACAAAGCATATGTAAAATATCATTTATTTTTCTTTTATATTTTCTTTTGATTTTGGGATGAAACACAGTATCACACATCTCTTCATGAGATTCACCCGACTAAATAACTACTTCCTGAACGCATCTGTCTGTCCTTTTCTGTCTGTCTGCTCGGTGGTTTTGGGTTGGTTTATGTATTTTATTTTGGATTGATGACATTTAGACACCCAGATGAGTTTATTTTGTTTATTTTAGTGTTAGACAGAGCGTTTCACTGCTGGGTGAGAGAATGACATGCTTGACTGAGCTTGTATCTGTCAAACACACACTCACTCACTCATACACACACACTCATATACTCATACACACACACACACACACACACACACACACACACTCACTCACTCATACACACACTCACTCACTCATACACACACTCATATACACGCACACACACACACACACACTCACTCATACACTCACTCACTCATACACACACTCATATACACGCACACACACACACACACAC